TATACTTATATTAAAAGGTATCTCATTTACCAGATTTAGTATAAAGAAAAGTCAAAAGTAATTAATGTTTGCTGGAAATAGAATGATATTAATTACAAATTTATTTTGGTATTTATAGTTTGACATTAAAGATTTGTTATGGGATAAAAAATAAGAACCGATTTTTTTACCTCTGCTGGAAAAGTCAAATGTAAGTATAGATTTATTTTATTCCATAACATCGGTTTAGTTAAAATAATCTCATAAAATCGGTTTTAATGTCAAGCCTATAAATAAAGATTTAATCGGTTTTAATAAAGCAGATTTAATCGATTTTAATAATTGCATAGAATTTCAAAGCCATTATTTATTGTAAAAAAATTAAATTCTAAAAAAACATTTGTGTATATTTTGTAAAATGTTCGTACAAAAGGTTTTACTTTAAATTTATTTACATAATTTAAATTAATTACATTAATAAATAATATGAACATACATTAAATATTTTAATTACATAAAATAAAAAGAAGAAGAAGAAGAAGATTACATTTATAACTTATAATAATAATGACATTATACTACAATAAATTTTATAATGAAATAATATAAGTATTATACGAGGAACAAGATTACGTAAAATTGTTATTTTTCTTATATCAATGAATAAATATATATAATGAAATCAAATTTATATTATTATAAACATGTGAGCGAGATAATATATTAATTAATTTACGGGCTAGCGCTACCAGACTCAGGTTTAATGTTCCGACAAAAAAATGACGTTGATGAAAAGATGTAAAAAAATATATGATTAAACTCTATTATTTTTTAGGCCTGAACGGACAAGCCCTATGGTCCACTCATTTAATATCTCCCGTGAATCGCATGAGCTACTTAACGGACAAGTTCTGTGGAAATAACTCATTAATACTTATGTCACGTGCATCGCACGGGCTACGTGCTAGTTATATATATATAGATTATTATTTTTTGGCTTAATCACATTATTAATAGTTTAATAGTCAAACAACCAAACAAGGATGATGATAATAATAATAGCCACCACTTAGCAGACTTATTTGAAATTTGGAAAGGTGTCCATTTCTTACCAAACTTCATCCAGTCAATCGATTTTAGTAATGTTTTAATTTTGGACCAAGCAAACTTGTATTGCAACTTTGCCGTAAACAGCAAACATATTTTCTAATATATTATTCAAAAATCAACATAAATAATTAAAAGACAGTTACTAATATATTTATATGTACATACATTATTTTTGAAATATATATTGGGTGGATCCACTTAACATTTAATAATAACTCACCTCATCTATACTTATATAAAAAGCCATCAAATTTACTAGAATTAGTAGGAAGAAAAGTCAACTCATAATTAATTGCACACCATATTTAGAAAGTTTTAGATATTTTAAATCATAAAATAGGGCAGCATCAAATGCCCCTAAAATTATGGGTTTTGTTGAATTCATTTTTGAAAATTTTGACAGATATTGAAGTGAATATGAGATTCAAAATCTCTTCCCATTTTATTTTTAATAAAATATGCATCCAAATTTACGTGTGGTTTTAAAGTAAAAATTTGAAATTTAAAATCTCTTCTCATTTTAATAAGGTTGCATTCAACACTTGGATCAATTTAAAAATTATTCCTTAAATGAAGGAATTTATAGATAATTGTTATTTCTACTAAATCATATGATTATCTTCAATATAAAAAGAGACATATTACAAATTAGTGAATTATAAATTACCTAATTTAAATCTTAACATTAAAGAATACATCCATATTATTATGTAAATCCGTATCTCATATTATAATATCATTAAGAATATATTATGGTTATATTATCAAATCCTAAAAATATATTAAATCCATATTGTAAAAAAAATAATTCATATAAATTTATAACAATTCTACTACACTATTCAACAATATTCATTTTTATCACATAATAAAATAATAATTAAATATTATATAGAACAAAAATAAGTAAAACTGTTACTTTCTCTTATATCAAGGGATAAATTTATATGCTAAAATTAAATTTTTATTAGTATAAATGTTTTAGTGAGATAATATATTAATTATTTTACAAGCTAGTCCTAACATGCTCATATTTAATGTTCTGGTTAAAAAAACAACGCTGGTTAAAAGATATGGAATAAAACTTATAATCTCTTTTGTTTTTTAGACTTAACGTTGATTAAAAGAGGTAGAAAATAGATAATAACCCTATTATTTTTTAGACTTAAACGGACAAAGGTGTGAAAATAACTCATTTAATATCTCTGTCCCGTACATCGCACGAGGTACGTACTAGTACCATAAAAAAGGCAATTTTGGACTATTTGGTAGTAGGGTTCCTAATATTTTTAAACATAACACAAATTGGTATAGCTTCTGTAATACACTTACGGTTACAGTCACATAATTTTCCAATGAATATTCATATTTTGAAATTAATATACTACATTATAAATAACAACATTCACTTCATACCATAAGTGTGTACTTTGTTGCAAATATATAATCAGACCTGCCTATTGTACTATAATTTAACACATTAATGAACAGGGATGTAAAAAATATTTTTATAGAATAATCACACATCTTATTTTAATGGTTCAAACTAATTATATGACATTTCTAATATGGCTTGAGATTATATGCAAACTTTTTTGTATCCAATAAAATTATATTTTCTTACAAAAAATCTTAAGTGATTATGACATATTAAAAATATTTTGATAAATCTTTCAATTTTCTCTTTTGAGCTCCAAAAGTGAACCTGCAAGGATAATATAGCTAATTGTCATTGGAATATTAGGTAACTAATAATTATTCTTTATTTGTGGTTGAAACAAAATTATAAGCCAACACTCATTTCATGAGACAAATTATACTACTATTTTTTCTTTAAAAAAGATTAGGTGACACATAATAATGTTGATGTAGATTCATGTGGGCCTAAAAAATTTCCGTCGATAGCTCTATTGGTGACGGCTAGCAGATGGACGGCCATCAAAAGCACCGTCCAATCCAACCCTGGGCCCAATGGGCCCACCCACTTTTCAAAAGCCTGGAATGACAGCGTGACACCAAAGCATTCGCGATTTTTTTTTTCTTTTTTCTTTTTTCATATATCCACGTATACGCTTTTGTAAAAGTTGACATGGAATTTTGTTTAGAAATTAACCAAAAAAATAAATAATTAATGGCAATGGTGAATTTGTTAAATTTGATTGGTGAATTTTATGTTGGGCATTGGTGAAATAGAATTAATAGCAATGTTAACATTTTTTTTATGTAAAATAATGTAATATGAAGAAGTAGTAGTTAATTGTGATGTGATAGGAGCAATAACAAAATTATAATTTAAAGTTATAAATATGTGAATTAATGAATATTAAACTTAACAAACAAATGTGTAGTAATGAAAAATTGTTAATTATGAATAATATTGTTTAAATGATGGGTTAATAAATAGTATATAGACATTTTAAACAGTTAAAAACAAATTGTTGAACCACGTTAAATTATGCTTTATTAATATGAATATTGACCTAAGCTTTGATTCATTAAATACATGACATGCTTTATTATCTTACACATAACATTATTTTGAATATAAACGACTAGTATAAGCCAATACATTTTATTAACTAGTTTGTTATATAATAATTATAACTAACTATAAATATAAAGAAGTTACTCACTTATAAGGAATTGTATTGCAAAGTTTTTTCTTCAATATATTTATTATAAAATTAGTATTATTTTTTTCTCCTCATTAAATGATTTCTCTTTAAATTAGCTAACTAATTCCAATGAAATAACAAAAATCCTTTAAAATCACATAAATAATTGCTATTATACTAATACTAATACTAATAATAATTTCTAGCCAATTAGTTTGTCACAATTTGTGAAAAAATAAAAATTATATTACTTATTATAATTTATGTCATATATGTAGTGATTCATTTGTAAGTTATACAATTTATATTTATATTGTTTATTGTTTACTGATTGTCAAAATTTTAAAATATGATATACTCGTTATTTAACTTATAATTTTTAAATATTATATATATACATATAATGTATAATATTTATTTGTATATGTACGTTTTTTTAGTTTCCAAGCAATAGAAAAAAAACACACACACACAACATTTCCAGTGAATGTACAAAAACGGATTAATTATATCATTAATCCTTAAGAACAAGCAGTTGTCATTAATTTCTTTATCTTTCTTCTTTAAATAATATTTTACTTAAAGACAGCGCGACAGAGAAATTGTCGACAAAAACAATTCCGAAAAGTTGCCTTAAATTTGTCATTTTGTTTTTCATTTTTCTCACTTTTAATGTGTCTAACGACTCTTGCTGAGTCAGCAAAATCACAATTCATAGCTACACTTCTGTTTGGTTGATTAAAAGGCTAGACTCATTATCACACGAGTTGATCATGATTTTAAATAAGTGGAACGGTAAAAAATATTAATATAATAATTACAAAAGTTTTAATGAGGTGAATGAGGTTGACTCACACGAACTGAGCCGAACTCATTGACTAAATAAGACCAATTTATCAATATTAAAAAATTATACTTGAATTTTAATTAGTCGGACTACAAAGATCATATGAAAATTTTAATTCTCGAACTTGACTCCCGCAAATCTCGTCAAGTTCACGAATGACTCGCTTTGTTAAGTAATTTATTTATTTGCCTTACATGATCATACATCAATACTTATATAATTATAGGCATTTTTTTTAGTAATATTCATTTTCTGTCTTTTTTGGTTACACATATAAAAATTATTATTTCTTATTTACATAGAATAATAATAATAATAATAATAATAATAATAATAATAATAATATTTAGTTAATTAGTTGGTCATAATATTTTGAAATGGTAAAAATTTATGTAGTATTATTTGTTAATAATGTATGTCATAAATATAGTGATTGAACTGTATGTTATGCAATTTATACCTCGAGAATTAATTCATGAGAGAGAATCAAAGAGAGAGAAAGAAAGATATGAGGAAAAATCAAATTGGGCTTCAATATGAGGAGAGATGACTGAAAAAGCAGCTCACAACTGATAATAAAATTTCTCAACCCAATTTCTGGCTTTCTCCATCTTCTTCCTTCTCCAGTAAGTTTTTCCATTTTCCTTTGATTTTATGTTTTTTCCGTGCGTTTTTCCATGAGATGTTCAAGCAAATTCCAGTTTGCCAATGTTTTTGAACTGTAATTTTGTTAATTTGTGCACTTGGACTTCTTGGTTGACTTATTTGTGGATCATCAATTTATTCTGATGATCCGAATTTCAGATTTCTGTTTTTTTGTTTTTTTTAGTAGAAATCGGATCTTCATTTTCCGTGACTTATGAGTTTAGGTTCTCTTTTTTCTTTTAACAGTGTTTGATTGGTTGGTGGTGGAGTTGTAGAGTGATAACAGTTTAGAATAAGCTTGTCTATTTTCATGGCTGTAAGGTTTTTTTTGGAGGAATAAAAGGTTAATACATTATCTTTTTCATCTTTCGTTTGTGATTGTTGATGTATTATGTGATCTTAGCTAGGTGAATTTGATGAATTCCTGTTTGTTGAATTCTTTGAGATTTGAATTTTTCGTCATAAGCTGCCCTTTGTGATTCTTCTTCTAACAGTGAAGTTTAGCTCCCTTTTCTAAGAGTGTTTGATTGGTTGGTGGTGGAGTTGCTGAATGAGAAAACTTTATAATGAGTTCTGTCTCTTTTCATGGCTACAACAATATTTTGTTTGAAAAAGGGTTATTGCTCTATCTTTTTTCCATTTTTCATTTGTGATTGTTGATGTAATGTTGATCTTAATTAGGTGGATTTGATGAATTTCACTGTTGAGGCGGCTGCTATTTTCTGTTGAATTTATTGGAGACTTGATTTTTTCGCAAATATTACTTAATGTGATCTTATTGTTCTGGAACTTCTTTTTAATTCCTTTATACTGTCTTGGCTAGGTGCAGAGACTTGGAGATCTCAAACTCAATTGTGAATATTAATACTGAATTGAGTGCTCCCAAATATTTATTTATTTATTTTTTCAATTCTGGGGGCTGGATTGAAATTATTTCGCTTCTACCGCTAAAGAGATGGCAAAGTTATCGCATACAGATTCTAGACGAATGTATTCCTGGTGGTGGGATAGCCATATTAGCCCGAAAAACTCGAAATGGCTCCAGGAAAATCTCACAGGTAAATAATTTCTTGTCCGGATGGAATGATGTTCTCGCGAAAACTCTCTCATCACATTTCCTCTTGGATGTACTTGTGTGGTTAAGTTTGTGCTTTTATGACTGCCCAAGAATTGCATCTATCATCTTATTTCAAAATCATGCTTGTTCATGTTTTATCTTATTGTCCTCGAATTACTGTCTGTCCTTATTGTGAGATTCTGGTGAGTTGTCATACAGAACCACAAACAAAA